CGTATACAAAGGGACCAAAAATGAGTATACGGAAACTAGGAGTGGCGGAGAGGCAGTATACCTGGAGCATACCTGGAGAGGGTTCTGGGAGTTCTACTACTCCCCGAGACCGGCCTTATAACAATGACATTGCATAGAGAGCCAAGTCCCAGCCAAGACTGTTCCAGAGCCACATGGGAGAGATAATGAGTGTGAACGAGCAGGTTGTCAGGCTTGACAAAAGGGGTGGGAGGACATGCAGAGGAATGCGAGAAACTTAACAGAAACCTCCAAGAAGTATTCAAGCTGGAACCTGACTTTTTACTAGAGCTTAGGGACCCAAAACCAGACGCGCACTTCTACAGCAAAGCGTCACGGAAATGACAGTGACACCTATAGAGGTGAAATAAACAACTATAGGAACTGTATGTGGCAAAAGCTGGAAGACGAGACAAAATATCAGCAGTGATACTGAGAGAGGCAGCTAAAGCACTGTGCGGGTACTCTTGCTGTAATATTTAATTCCTCTCTAGAAGAGGAACAACCTCCTGACCACTGGAAACGGACTAACGTGGCGCCAACCCACAAGAAAGGGTGATAATTCAGAAACCGTTAAACTGTCGACTAATGTCAATAACAAATATCCCCTATACGTTACTAGAGAGACTGATCCTAAGCAGGTTAATATAATACTTAGAACAGATAAATTTGATCTCGAAACACCAGCATGAATTTAGTTCAGGAAAATCCTGTTTGACAAACTTGCTGGAGTTCTATAATAAGATGACAGAAATGAAACGAGAGAGAAGGATAGGTAGACTGCATATTCCTTGATTGTCAGAAAGAATTTGATACTATCTGAATTTGATACAAGAGACTACTCAAGCGATAATGGAGGCTCGTGTATTGGGAATGTCCCAGGATGGCTCAGAGTACTTTTCAAGAAGTAAGTTTCAAAGAATTACAGTAAGAGTAGAGACAATAGAGCGGAGAGAGGTGATAAATGGAGTACCACAAGGGTCGGTTCTAGAGTCCATCCTGTTTCTAATGTCAGTGACCTGACAGGAAATCAGTTCCTTCATATTAACGTTTGCAGATGAAGCAAAACTAGTGAGAAGAGTTAGGACAGATTGCAATACATTACAAACGTAACTGGACATACTCCAGAAGTGGTCAGGAAAATGGCTACTAGAATTTCACCAAGCCAAAGGCAAAGTTACGACGTTTGGAACAGGAGTGCGAAGACCAGTGCAGCAATATAGAATGAAGGGAAGACAGATTCTTCAATTATAAAAAGAGAAAGAACTGGTAATGGACATAATGGGAGTTTCCGGCATCAAATTTGGGGTTATCTTCTTGACGTTATCTTGAGATGATTTCGGGGCTTAGTTCCCCGCGGCCCGGTCCTCGACCAGGCCTCCACCCCCAGGAAGCAGCCCGTAGCAACTGTCTAACTCACAGGTACCTAATTATTACTAGGTAACAGAGTGTCCGGGGTTAACCCCGGGGTTAACAATACCAACAGCTGCATATGGCATACTGGCCAACGTCCGTGTATCCTTCAAAAACTTGGACAATGGAGCTTTCTGGGCCCTTGCATATAGCGAAGGTGAGACCCGCTCATGAATATGCAGCCCAAGCATGGGATGGAAACCTGAAAAAGGATACACTACAAAGGTCCAAAGACATGCAACAAGTCTCAAATTTGACCTGAAGGGATTGAGTTATGAGGAAAGGCTGAGAGAACCTTATGACACCTTATCATACTGAAGGAAAGGAGAGTTACAGGGAACATGATAATAAAATATAAATAATGTAAGGGATATTGACAAGGTAAAAATGCAGCATTGTTCAGAGCTAGGAACAGCAGAATGAAGAGTCATAGACGGAAGCTACAGACGCAAATGAGTCAGAAACATCAGGAAGAACTATTTTAGGTTAGCGCTCTTAATAAGTGGAACACTTTAGACGAAGAAGTTGTTGACGTTAATTAAATTCGAAATTTTCAATGTAAACATAAGAGCGTGATCAATATTAATCTAAAAACGTTCGGAAGGCGGGACTACGAGCCTTCGTCGAACCTCCAAGCACATCTAAAGTGTGCGCGCACACACACACACACACACACACACACACAGGTGGAGCCGGTGGCTGTCTGGATAGCACGCTGGACACGTAATCCTGTGGCCCAGATTCGATTTCCGACGCCGGCGAGAAACGATGGGCAGAGTTTTTTTCACCCTGATGCCCCTGTTACCTAGCAGTAAATAGGTACCTGGGAGTTAGTCAGCTGTCACGGGCTGATTCCTGTGTGTGTGTGTGTGTGTGTGTACTCACCTAGTTGTACTCACCTAGTTGTGCTTGCGGGGGTTGAGCTCTGGCTCTTTGGTCCCGCCTCTCAACCGTCAATCAACAGGTGTACAGGTTCCTGAGCCTATTGGGCTCTATCATATCTACACTTGAAACTGTGTATGGAGTCAGCCTCCACCACATCACTTCCTAATGCATTCCATTTGTCAACCACTCTGACACTAAAAAAGTTCTTTCTAATATCTCTGTGGCTCATTTGGGCACTCAGTTTCCACCTGTGTCCCCTAGTGCGTGTGCCCCTTGTGTTAAACAGCCTGTCTTTGTCAACCCTGTCGATTCCCTTGAGGATCTTGAATGTGGTGATCATGTCCCCCCTAACTCTTCTGTCTTCCAACGAAGTGAGGTTTAATTCCCGTAGTCTCTCCTCGTAGCTCATACCTCTCAGCTCGGGTACTAGTCTGGTGGCAAACCTTTGAACCTTTTCCATTTTAGTCTTATGCTTGACTAGATATGGACTCCATGCTGGTGCCGCATACTCCAGGATTGGTCTGACATATGTGGTATATAATGTTCTGAAAGATTCCTTACACAAGTTTCTAAAGGCCGTTCTTATGTTAGCCAACCTGGCATATGCTGCTGATGTTATCCTCTTGATATGAGCTTCAGGGGAGAGGTCTGGCGTGATATCAACCCCCAGGTCTTTCTCTCTCTCGGACTCTTGAAGTATTTCATCTCCCAAGTGATACCTTGTATCTGGTCTCCTGCTTCCTACCCCTATCTTCATTACATTACATTTGCTTGGATTAAACTCTAACAGCCATTTGTTCGACCATTCCTGCAGCTTGTCCAGGTCTTCTTGAAGCCTCAAGCTGTCCTCCTCTGTCTTAATCCTTCTCATAATTTTGGCGTCGTCAGCAAACATTGAGAGGAATGAGTCTATACCCTCTGGGAGATCATTTACGTATATCAGAAACAGGATAGGCCCAAGTACAGAGCCCTGTGGTACTCCACTGGTGACTTCACACCAGTCTGAGGTCTCACCCCTCACTGTAACTCTCTGCTTCCTATTGTTTAGGTACTCCCTTATCCACTGGAGCGCCCTACCAGTAACTCCTGCCTGTTTCTCCAGCTTATGCATCAACCTTTTATGGGGTACTGTGTCAAAGGCTTTCCGACAGTCCAAAAAAATGCAGTCCGCCCACCCTTCTCTTTCTTGTTTAATCTTTGTCACCTGATCGTAGAATTCTATCAATCCTGTAAGGCAAGATTTACCCTCTCTGAACCCATGTTGATGGGTTGTCACGAAGTCTCTTCTCTCCAGATGTGTTGCTAGGTTTTTTCTCACAATCTTCTCCATCACCTTGCATGGTATACAAGTTAAGGACACTGGCCTGTAGTTCAGTGCCTCTAGTCTGTCACCCTTTTTGTATATTGGTACTACATTAGCAGTCTTCCATATTTCTGGTAGGTCCCCCGTTTCCAGTGACCTACTATACACTATGGAGAGTGGTAGGCAAAGTGCTCCTGCACACTCTTTCAATACCCATGGCGAGATTCCATCCGGCCCAACAGCTTTTCTCACATCCAGCTCCAATAGGTGCTTCTTGACCTCATCTCTTGTAATTTCGAACCTATCCAAGGTCACCTGGTTTGCTGCCACCCCTTCTAGCGCCGCGACATCTCCCTGTTCTATTGTAAAGACCTCCTGGAACCTTTTGTTGAGTTCTTCACACACCTCTTTGTCATTCTGTGTACCTGTCCTCGCCCACCCTAAGTTTCATCACCTGTTCCTTCACTGTTGTCTTCCTCCTGATGTGACTGTGTAGTAGCTTTGGTTCGGTCTTGGCTTTATTAGCTATATCATTTTCATACCTTTTCTCAGCTGCTCTTCTCACACTAACATACTCGTTCCTGGTTCTCTGGTATCTCACTCTACTTTCTGGTGTTCTGTTATTACGGAAGTTCCTCCATGCCCTTTTGTTCAGCTCCTTTGCTTTCATACATTCCTTATTAAACCACGGATTCAATGTGTGTGTGTGTGTGTGTGTGTGTGTGTGTGTGTGTGTGTGTGTGTGTGTGTGTGTGTGTGTGTGTGTGTGTGTGTGTATGTGTGTGTGTGGAAAAAAATAGTAGTAACAGTTGATTGAGAGTTGAGAGGCGGGCCGAAAGAGCAGAGCTCAACCCCCGCAAGCACAACTAGGTGAATACGCAGGTAGTACTTAGGACGTATCATATTGATCATATTGATCAAGTAGGCCTTCCTAGGAAGGGGGATAAGGGAGGGCTTGCGTGCTGGGACGGGGTTCAGGTCAGGTGGTTATGAGTGGGTCGAAGGTCATAAGAAAGGGTCCTAAGACACCCCCCACCCCCCTTCTGAAAGAAATCGGGAAGTTGCTGCCGCAGGCTCAGTGGTGGTGGGGTTGCCCAGGACGGTGGCGTAGGTAGCACAACAAATTGGGTGGACGGTGGCGTACCAAAGTATCACCATAACCACCCCATTTGCTCAGTTGCCAGAGGTCACGGTTAATTAGGTTTGAGCACGCCCCCTGTGGCCCACAAGCGCGTATCCCAGGCCTGAGCGCTGGCACTCATTTCCCCACTGTTGACAGTAGTAGCAGCAGCAGCAGGCGGGCTGGGACACCACGGTCGAGGGCTATTAAAAACATTTAACTAATGAATGAAATTGGTGTATCGTGGTGTTGGGGGTTGAATGGCGGGCGTGACGTCATAGAGCGGCGTCGGCCGAGGTCTGAGGGTGGCCGGGAGAGTAGTGTGGGCCCGGCCGGCGCGGGGAGCGGACGTTAGGGCCATGTCGGGGTAGTACCACGCCCGCATCATTTTAAAATAATTAAAAAAAAAATATCCAGCTCAGCAGCCGACGCGTCTACGGACATGGTCATGGCCGAGAAACCGAAGGCGCCCGTCAAAGTGGGCTTCTATGATATCGAAAAGACCATTGGCAAGGGGAACTTCGCAGTGGTTAAATTAGCCCGACATCGCATCACTAAAACTGAGGTAAGGGAGAGAGGTTTAACAGCACCTCACCTTCTACCGGAGAGAGGGATGGAGGAGGAGGAGGAAGGGGTGTTGAACCCCACGTGGCACTCCCCCCTCCTCCCTCCTCATCTCCCTCCAACTCATCACCTTTGTAAACTAGCGGTGCCACAACGTCTGACACCTCGGAGTCGTCCTTCGGTTGTGTGGCACCAGTGTGGTAGTACTCGTGGTGGCACTCGACGTCTTGTGGAATGTTACGTGTTGGCACCTTTACTGTTGTGACACTGTTGTGACGTATTGTGACACATGGATGCTCTGGTGATGGGTCCGTTGACTCTGGCACCGGTGCCGGGAGTAGAGTCTTGTGCAAATGACACCTCTTGGCACTGCCAGTCTCCGTCGTCGATACTTATGCATTCACACCACTTGGCACTGACTCGTACACATTGATATTATGCGGTGCCACACAGTGACAGCGAACAGTGCCAGACCGTGACAAGCGGTGTCATACAGTGACAGCAATCCCTCACATTGATACCAGTGACATAGTGACAGCAAGCAGTGCCACAGTGACAGCAAGTGGTGCCAAACACACTGTGACTGCAAGCAGTGCCACACACACACATTGACAGCCAACAGTGCCCCCACACCCACACACAGTGACAGTAAGCAGTGCCCCACACACACACTGTGACAGCCAACAGTGCCCCCACACCCACACACACTGTTACAGTAAGCAGTGCCCCACACACACACTGTGACAGCCAACAGTGCCCCCCACATACAGTGACAGCCAACAGTGCCCCCCACATACAGTGACAGCCAACAGTGCCCCGACACCCACATACAGTGACAGTAAGCAGTGCCCCACCCACATACAGTGACAGTAAGCAGTGTCCCACCCACATACAGTGACAGCCAACAGTGCCACACACCCACACACAGTGACAGCAAGCAGTGCCACACACACTGTGACAGCCAACAGTGCCCCCACACCCACACAGTGACAGTAAGCAGTGCCCCACCCACATACAGTGACAGCCAACAGTGCCCCACACACACACACAGTGACAGCCAACAGTGCCACACACCCACACACAGTGACAGCAAGCAGTGCCCCCCACCCACACACAGTGACAGCCAACAGTGCCCACCCACACACACTGTGACAGCCAACAGTGCCACACACCCACACAGTGACAGCCAACAGTGCCCCCCACCCACACACACAGTGACAGCCAACAGTGCCCCACACCCACACACAGTGACAGCCAACAGTGCCCCACACCCACACACAGTGACAGCCAACAGTGCCACACACCCACACACAGTGACAGCAAGCAGTGCCCCCACACACACTGTGACAGCCAACAGTGCCACACACCCACACACAGTGACAGCAAGCAGTGCCCCCCACACACAGCAAGCAGTGCCACACACACAGTGACAGCCAACAGCGCCCCCCACACACAGTGACAGCCAACAGCGCCCCCCACACACAGTGACAGCCAACAGTGCCACACACACTGACGTGAGAGTATTACAACTCTGCTCCACTGTGACAGACAAGCCAGTATTACAACCAAGCACCTTGGCACATCGCCACACACGTAGTGTCAAGATATAGGTCAGCCACTCGACGTGTTCCACTTAATTGCCACAAAGAGGGGAGATTGTGCTCGGAGAGATTGTTCTCAGAGGGGAAATTATGACCACAATACTGAGGCGAGTAGAGAGGCTGGACTAACCATGGTACTCTATTTTTCGTTCCAAATGAGCCAGATAGAAGTAGGAATTATCCGTCTGTCGCAAAGTTGATCAGGTAGGGAACCATTGGTAGTAATCTTCATTGACAGCTTCGGAAGCCAATTGACCAAGATCTCCCAGGCGTTTGATGTAAATAGTGGTGTATAGAGCCCACAGAGCTCTAGTGTTTTTGGAGTACTCGTAGGTTAGGTGATGTCTCGTGGTGTCACCTGGCATCACGTTGGAGGCACTGTGGTAATGTGTGTGTGGTGACCTTGAAGGGCTGAACTAGGACCTTCCCTCCCTCCCTCCCTCTACCCTTGACCTTGTGGCTAGGCACTCACCGGTCCAACCCCACTTATAGCTCTCCCCCCCCCTACCCTCCCCACGGCACCTTACACCCTCCCCACTCGCCCCTCCTCTCACACCTCTTCCCTCAGGGACACCCTTCTTCTCCCTCCCTCCCCCAACACCACGAAGACACTCCTCCCTTTCCTCGAACCGGGACACTAACCCCGGTTATTAGTGTAGATCCTCTTCAGCGGGCATGTGAGTGGATTAGTATTTAAGATCATGCTTTTTGTGTGTGTGAGAACACATTCACAAGGGAGACATCTCCCGTCATGCAGGGTGCATTCGCACCTCCACAGATCTCCAGTATCAGCTCTTGATACTGGTAATGGCTTAAAAGGGCCACCACTTACGGGCTATTCATGCCCGTGCCACCTTTTGGGTGGCTTAATCTTCATCATCATCGTGTGTGTGAGGTGTTTAGCAGGGGCCTGGGAGACGTTGCTGGCCTCTCCTCCGGCACTTCTCGTGTACTCCTTGTCTCTCAAGAGTTTTTGAAGTCTTGCGTTCGCTGGTATTGCATGGTGTGTATTGGTGATGGGGGGGGGGGGGGTTGTATCTAGCGTATTGGTGATGTATTCCCAGCGTTCTGATGCTCTCAATACTACTGGTGTTTATTCCATTTCCTGTTCCCGTTCTCCTCTCAAGACACTTTGGTGAGACTGGCCGAGCTCTTCATGACAGATTTGAATACCAAAAAAGTGTTATACTTGCTGGTACGAACAATGCTCTCTTCTGTTATCTTGGGGGGGGACCTGTTATCTTGGGGGGGGGACCTGATATCTTGGGGGAACCTGATATCTTGGGGGGACCTGATATCTTGGGGACTTTTAAGCGTCTTAAAGATTGATCTTCTAAGATAATCGTTCCTGCCTGTACTCTTCACAGACGCCGTCTTGTCGACTCTGCTGTGATGCCCATCATGAACCTGAGTCCTGACTTTGTTGCTGTTGACTCGTATCTTTCACAGTGCATACTTAAATGCTCCAACCTTCTTGACAAACGTGATCTGACTGTACGCTTCCTTACAGTCGGATCACGCTGTACGCTTCCTGCGGTACACCTTAACACCGCTGTACACTTACAGGTGAAGAGGCACGGTGGTAGTTTGGCAATAGCAGCCGAACATGGTGTACACTAGTGCACTAGTGTCTTGAGGTGAAGATCCTTGTACAATAAATTTCCTGTGTGGCGGACGGTAGTGTGTGTGTACTCACCTAATTGTGCTTGCGGGGGTTGAGCTCTGGCTCTTTGGTCCCGCCTCTCAACCGTCAATCAACAGGAACGTGTGTGTGTGTGTGTGTGTGAGAGAGCAATATACGTGACTATACGCCCCACAGTTTGGCTTATACCTGTGGTCGTCCGCATCTGGGGGGGTAGAACTACTCTCGAAATCCTCTTCAGGTATGCTCCTGCAGGTATGGTATACCAGTATAGGGTCTTAAGACCTGAGAAGTGTTTCATCTAACCCAACGTATGCTAAACTCTTCTAGCCTAAGCACAATAGTTTCTATTTTGGGTTATATATATATGGTATAGACACAAGGTGTGACGTCACATTATCGTCACAAGGTGTGACGTCACATTATCGTCACAAGGTGTGACGTCCAAGTATTGTGACGTCACAAGGTGTGACGTCACTCTGACGTCGTAATGTTAGTTCCGGTTCACGTTTTGGGCTCCTTAATGCTTCCACTCTACGGTCTCTTAAGCCCGTCCCTTTCCACCTAATACCAATCCGTCAATAAAGTGACCTATTACTACATATTATAGCCCCTTGTTATTGACGTTCTCCATCCGCCTTGATAGGTGGGTTGCGCGAGTTAACAAATTTGTATACAATTTGAGTTAACAATTTGTTAACAATTGATTTTTTTTCACGGTTGAACTTGAGAGAACGAGTTAGTTTACATGCCTCAAACACTTGCGATTACTTCCTCTCAACGACGCTCCTCGTTGTTTACACCCATAAACATAAACTTGTTTACATCCAGAAGACGTATATTTTAGTCCACACCCCGAGGATATAGTGTAATTGTTTTCACCGTGGAAAAAATTATATTCAAACGTTGTTTACACATTCCTACTCCAATCAAGCCTTTTTTGTTTGTTGGTCGTGTATACCAATTATTGTTTGCCCTGACCTTGCAGGACCTTGTGTTTATTCAGGAACGATCTTTAGTTGTTTACCCTTATAGAAATGACGTTTGTCTACGGCTTAGAACAAATCTTTGTTTACCTCCTAAAAGCGACCTTTTCTACTCTCTAGAGACGACACATAATTGTTTACTCTCTAGAAACGACCCATAATTGTTTACTCTCTAGAAACGACCCATAATTGCCTACTCTCTAGAAACGACCCATAATTGTTTACTCTCTAGAAACGACCCATAATTGCCTACTCTCTAGAGACGACCCATAATTACCTACTCTCTAGAGACGACCCATAATTGCCTACTCTAGAGACGACCCATAATTGCCTACTCCCTAGAAACGACCCATAATTGCCTACTCCCTAGAAACGACCCATAATTGCCTACTCCCTAGAAACGACCCATAATTGCCTACTCCCTAGAAACGACCCATAATTGCCTACTCCCTAGAAACGACCCATAATTGCCTACTCTCTAGAAACGACCCATAATTGCCTACTCCCTAGAAACGACCCATAATTGCCTACTCTCTAGAAACGACCCATAATTGCCTACTCCCTAGAAACGACCCATAATTGCCTACTCCCTAGAAACGACCCATAATTGCCTACTCCCTAGAAACGACCCATAATTGCCTACTCCCTAGAAACGACCCATAATTGCCTACTCCCTAGAAACGACCCATAATTGCCTACTCCCTAGAAACGACCCATAATTGCCTACTCTCTAGAAACGACCCATAATTGCCTACTCCCTAGAAACGACCCA